TTGTTTGAAACCTGGTTGTTAAGCATTTTCCAGCATATCAGGGAGCTCATGTGACCACCTCACATGCATACCAACTCTGCTTCTTGTTGTTTTACAGTGCTACTCCTTTATCATTCTTTTCAAAAGCACTCTCCAAATATTCCTTAGTATGAAGTGCTGTGTTAGGCCTCATAAAACCCTTCATTCTCTCTCATACAAGGATCACGGAAGTGAAATGATGCGACAGTCCATATAGATTGAACGGTAAATTTGGGACGTCAACTTCGTTATATAACCGTGAAGCTAATGCCCCTGAAAAACTGACCGTTCATTGCGCCCCCTACTACTTCACTAAAATATGCCAGCTCTTATAATCGAGGAAACAGTATATAGCTATTGCAGAGACATAAATATTTGAATGCAAACAAAAGCTCTCTATTTCATACTACTTTTGAAGAGAACATAATAAGGCTTAGAATATAGTCCTCTTTGATTAACCATTGTAAGACTTATTCTTTCTTTTTGAATCACAACTTGACATCTTACTCAGCTTGTCTAAAAAATGTATTTAAGTTTCCAAATCAATCTATAAAACAAATGACCAAAAGTGAAAATTCTAGTGTCCATGAGCAGGAAAAATTTGATGGTTTGTCCATATAAGTACATACATAATTTCTCTCTGTTGATTTTAATTTTTTATGTACTTTCTGCTCTCAGGTTTAGATAACATCTTTCTTGCTAATTCATTGGAGAAATGACTGGGAATATGCCTGCTAATCATACATTTATTATAAAATTAACAATAGTTTTGAGAGTTGATAAGCAGTTCATCAAAATAGGGTTTGACCTTTCAGACTCAGGGGGATCTGCACATGATAACTAATTTCAAACCCTGATCCATTACAAAAAGTTTGGTAATTGAAAAACAGCAATATTAAGTTCTAGTCTGCCCTACTGTTAGGCTACCAGATTAATTGCAACCTTTTAACAAATTAGAGTGTTATCAAAAAGTTTTATTAACATTATAAAAGTGCTCAATATCTTTCATGATATTAATTCTTAAGCTGACTTGAAATTCCATATTTGACATAAAAGTAAATCTTCATTATCTGAAGTAAGTGCTAAGTAACTAAGAATGTTTCTGTGGGTAACACCAAGAGTCTGTTCCCTTTCAACTAAAAATTATAATGTTACACAATTATCTTATTCATTTTTAGCTTTCTAATTTCTGATAAAAATATATATTAAGATATATGCTGAAAATAATTATTACAATAACATACAGTACTTGTTAAAAAAGAAAAATAAGCCCAATTAAATAAAAAATTCTTAAAGATTCTGATTTTAATAAGAATAGAAATGTGAGAAATAATATTGAATAAAAGTTCCATGTGCTTCTGATCAGACTCAATAATCACCCTGTATAGAAAATTTACTTTTAAATGAAAAGCACATTCTTTTTATCTCTTATTTGTATACTTTGTATTCATGTCTCCTTCAAAAGTAATTTGCTATTGGCTACACTACATTGTCCTTCCTTGTTGCGTTTATGCTTCCATAGTTATTTGAATACATTTGAAGGATTTTATTTACCAGTTAAACAGCATTGACTTATTATAAAACGCTTCCTTTTTGAGAGCTTTCCTAATTGACACTTTTTTCATTGGATTTAATAATTTTATACATGCTTTTAAAATTCATGGTTGAATAATTACGCTTCATTTTACTTTCTTCATTATAATAGTGCTTCTTTAGCATTCGTTTTCTATATTTTGACTATACATTGTGAAATAAACTGTAGTTCCTGAGTTTTGGTGTTGAATTAGATCCTCCCAAGTGGACATAAGATAATTCTTTTCCTATTTTTTTTTTATATTTGTTGTCTTTTCATGGCTTTCCTTTCAGTAATTATTCTTAAAATTATTTCTCTAAGAAAGTTTCTTTTGAAAAGAAAAAAAACCCATGCTTGTAGCTTTAAAAAATCGGCTCAAAATTAATGTTTCTCCTGTAACAGAAATATTAGATTGATTTTTTAATTTTTCTTTGGGTTAAGAACGATGTCTTAATATGTTTTTTCTTTTAATTTTATCCTCAGTAATGATTGCATCTAATTTTATTCTCAGTACCTAATGCATGCATGGAAATATTGGTTAAATTACTTTGTTACTTTTTCCTTTGTTATATATAGCAATGATTTATAATAATTTATAACTATGGAGTAAAGTAATGGTTCTTGCTGTTAAACATTTTTTTTCATTACCATCAAAAATTTGAGAAAAAAATAATTAGTAGAGACAATAAAATTTCAACAACTGATTTTTGTTTACTCAGTTATAGCAAGTAGTTGTTTAGTTTATATTTTCCCTTTATGTGACTGCTTTTGACAGACTAGAAGTTCTTACAATTTGTCCACAAAATAAAAGCAGAACTAGTTGAAATCCAAGAAACAATTATTTGCATTTAGCATAGGAATTAAATTATATATTGATGAGAAATATGGGAAATAAAATAAAGCTTTTGGGGGGGGGTTACTTTGACAACATTAACCACAAATAAGATGTCCACAAGATTTACTGGGTTTGTAAACTATATCATAGCATAAGACAAATGTATTCGGAAGTGGACTTCTGAGAATATTGAACACTTGAAACCCAAAGACACAAAAGTTGTATTTTCTCATAAGTATGTTTCCTTGCCTCTGAATTATCCCTGATTAATGATATTCTTTTTAAAAAAGATTTCATTTATTTACTTTCAGAGGGGAAGGGAGGGAGAAAGAGAAGGAGAGAAGCATGAATGCGTGATTGCCAGCTGCCCTCCCCCTACCGGGGACCTGGCCTGCAACCCAGGCATGTGCCCTGACTGGGAATCTAAGCAGCGACCCCTTGCTTCTCAGGCTGGCGCTCAATCCACTGAGCCACACCAGCCAGGGTGATTAACAATATTCTTAAATGAAAAATTGAATCTTATGTAATCAAACAAAAAACATTCCTGTGCTAACAAACCTCAACATTCGGTTCAGCGTTGTTGAAGACAAATAAATTATTTCTATTATCTAAAACAGAAACTTATTTGTATGATAAATTAGATCCCACCAGGTATTCAAGATATTTCCATATAATTTTAGGAATTTTACCAATACAACCCTCTATCTATAAATCCAGTGCTCTTTAAATAGTCAGCAGACACATTTTTTTCTTAATTGACAGAAAGTCCTTTAAAAAAAAAAAGAGGGGCCAGTTAGATGTTTGCTATTAGGAATTAAATGGACATGTTGGCTTGAGCTTATTTCCGGCACCCTTTCTGTGGTAATACAGCAAGTTAATAAACTGATGGGGATTAGAGGACGGGTATGAGGCTGTAGATTCCCTCAACACAGAGGGAAAGAGCAGGGAGGGCTTGTCATTGTGGACTAAAAACTGTGCAGAAAAGGGAATGGGTGATATGGTTTGGAGATATATTAAGGGTTCTGAGCAAAAATTATATCTGCATAGTATGTTAAAGTTTTTGTTGTCTCTATAACATTTAAACTTGTATCAATAATAAGCAAACATAAAACTATAAATAGCTAAGTATCAGTAAGCACATACTTAAGGGAATTAAGTAACCAGGGGAAGAAAGATGAAGTTAAATGCATAATAACAGGTGATACGAATTAAACTTGAACTCTGGAAACATTAAAAGAGATATTTGTAGTAATTTTAAAAGTTATGAGAAATCTTAATAATACAATTAAAATATGAGAAAGAGAGAAAGGAACTTTCTAGACTTTGACTAATGATTTTAAAATTTAGGATTTTATTAGAAGACCTAAAAAGAAATTAGTCTCTGCTGAAAATCTAGTTAGTGTGGATGATCTAGTGAAAGACTGTTTTCAGAGGAAAAACTGATAAAATTCAAAAGAGAAAATATAAAAGAATTACATAGTTTTGAAGACTGAATATGTAAATAGGCATTCTAGGTAGAAAATAAAAGGATCAAAAGGATGGAATAATGAAATAAATAAAAACTCAAGAACATTGCCTTGGGTTAAAGAAAATCTTACATCTGCAGATAGAAAAGGCTATTACTTTATTTGAATAATACAGTTTAGAAATATGGTGAAAATTTACTAATTCATTTTATTAAGTTCACCTTAATACTAAAAAGATAGAGATAATTTGAGAAAAAGGAAAAAGAACATTATACATGAGTTTTAAATTACAGAAAACATTATAAATTAATTTGCAAATTAAACCCAATAATCTAGCACAATGAAAATATGTCATGCAAATTAATAGAATAATAATAGTTGCCATTTTGCATGACCGAGAAATCCTCTTTTAGGTGATATCAATGTAATAAATACCACTTTTGAGAAACACTGGCACTATGTCAAGATCACTAGATTAGGAGTTTAGTGATCCAATTTTTACTCTAATGTCAGGTCAAAGAAAGACAATTTCAAGCAAGAGACATAACTTTGAGCAGTATTTCTCAGCTTATTCTACTCATTAGCATTCAACTAAGAGGCTCCCAACCCCAACTCTATGAAATTAAGAACTATGGAATAAGATTCGTAAGGCAGAATTGATCTTTAAAGGAGTACATATCATTATAGCATCTAAGGTTTTATAACCCTCAGGAACCAGTTTTCACCTCCGTGGATGTAATAACTACCACATTGAAAGTGCATGCCTGGAAGGAAAAGCAATGGTAACATGCTTTGTGGGTATACCTTCAGTTTAATTACTGTACACTTTTTGAAAAATAATCTGGTGATACATGAATATTTTAGCCCAGAAATCCCATATTTTGAAAACTGTCTTATTGAAATACAAGTACCAAAAATTAATTTGTATGTAAAAGCTGCTTATTTCAGCATTACGTTTCATAGTAAAAAGCTTGAGTTTATAAATACGGGAATGATACAGCAAGTTGTATGAATGTCCTCGTATGGAATATTACACAGTGCTCAAAAGGAAGAGTCTATATCTACTGACCTGAATAGATGTCTAGAATGCATGGATAAAAGAAAAGCTATATGGACCTTGCAGAGGACATACCACTGTCACAAGGGTGGCCTTCCCATAGGGAGGCTTATCCATTGCACTCCGGGTGTGCCGGCCCTTGAGATTTCCCTCAATGTGGGAAACTCAACTTGCCTGCACAGTTTGCAGTGGTGGGAGACTGCGTTCACACTCTCCCCTAAAAAAAAAAAAAAGAAAAGAAAGAAAGAAAAAGAAAAAAAAAAGAAAAGAAAAGAGAGCAAAGCAAGTCAGAGTGCAATGAGAATGAAAATGATGCAGTGATGCTTGGTAGCTTACCAATTATGTTTTTATATACTTTTGATGTATTAAATTAGTTTCTAAAAGTATTTAGTACTCTCCTAACTTAATATTTAAAAACTGTAAAAAATGAGGTAAGTTAAAGGACATGGCTAAATTATAGAAATTGCAAAAGGAACAAGTGGATTTTATATTATTTATGTTACTAGAAAAATGGGTGTTTTGTCGCCTTGAGCGAACTGCATTTGAAAACCAACCAATGAACTTTGCAAACCAGTCTCTCTGTAGGTATTCTCAATTTTAAGTTGTCTGCCATAAAAAAGGCATAGCTTTTATAATAAGAGCAATATTATATAACATGAGTTTGCATATTACTTAGAGTCTACTGATCTTGGAATTATAAAATTACCCATGTGAATTTTAACTCAATCTGATATTTGTAGGAATTTATATACATGTATAACTGTCCTTTGGAAACACGTAGTAAACTGATTTAGGTAGAGCATAATAACTTCCTCTTTTATATATATGTGTGTGTGTGTATTATATATAAATACATTATTTGAATTGGTTATTATTGGCACATATACATTTTAATTATAAATATATTTTGCAGATTTATGATGGAAAAGATAAAACGACTCACCTATTAGGCGCATTTACTGGTGCATCTATGCGAGGACTGACACTTAGTAGTACTTCAAATCAGCTCTGGCTAGAATTTAATTCTGATTCTGAAGGGACAGATGAAGGCTTTCAACTTGTCTATACCAGTAAGTATTTTGGAAGAATAAAGTTATCAAATACTAATGCTGAATATGTGTTAAAGAGCTAAAGTACATGAGGCGAAGTGAAATCCAACATTTGATTATTGATTTGCAGTTTGTAACTTCCTTCTAAATATGTAATTTTATTTGACCCTTACAACAATTTCATAAATTATAACTATTCTAACTATTTTACATTTTACATTTGAAACAACTGAGGTTCAGAAGTTAAGTAATCTGTGACTTTGAGCTTGTTTATTTATTTTCAAATGGCATTGTCTCCTCATCAAATTTTTAAGAAATATACAATTAAACTTTTTAGTAGATAGAAATTCAATATTTCAGCTCCCACCCATAATTGTAAAACATACACAATACATGTGTAATAGCTGTAGTTGGACAGTCATTGCTGACAAATGATGGTTTTAGGTGATTTTACACTAAAGAGTAACTAAGCTCCGTTGTTGTTGTTTTTGAGCTGCTTTATTAAAAATAATTTCTTACAATCCTATGATATTCAAGTCTACTATTCTAACAGTTAACAGGTAGCAGTTTAAAGATTGAGAACCATGGGTAGGTAGGTGGGTTTCTTCAATTGTTATATGGATTTATTTTACCAATACTAAAATATAAGAAACAGATTAATAACATCCATGGATAATAAACTATATTCAAATAGCATAATTATTGAGTTCCTACTTTAAGACACTGTACTTAAAAAGTAAAGCACATGCAAAATTAAAGTGGTTATATGTGTTTAATAAATTTTCCATCTAACAGGTCAAATCAGTTCTTAGAAGTTCATATTGCTCATTTAATATAGCCAAATAAATTAAGTAGCAATATCCAGGAATCTTTAGTATTAGAACATTCTTAAAAAACATCTAATGTCCCGTACAAATTTTCTCAAGAAGCCAGATGAATGGAAGCTCTCAAAGAAACTGTAAAATTAAAAAGGTCACAGCATTTCAGGTATTCACATACTAAAGGGACTCTGAATCAAATTATCATTTCTGAAAATATTCTTTCTTAATGTTATGAGAAGTAGTAGACAAGAGAGTATAATGATTCATTATATTAAAATATCCTTGTATATAATATTGAGAGATTGTTCTTGCTACTGATCATTTCAAAGCTTTTCTACTTGTTTTTTTAATTGCTATATCACTAACATTAAGAAAACATAAATTAACTAAATGAATGTTGAATGCCTATTTTTAAATCCTGAGATCTGTTGTGTAATGTGATTTCTTATGGAGTCCTTCCACAGACAAATGAAAATCCAAGCAATTTGTGTTACAAATATTATTGTGATAGACTAAAGTAATGGTATTGAGGTTTATTGTTCAAATATAATTAATGTGATCTTTTCAGAAAGGCAAATATTTTAAAATCTTCTTTCCTCTTCTCCTTTCTCTATTTTCAAACAGGGCTGCTGACATTTTTCAAGTCTTGGCTCAGTGTTTACATAATAGTCTTTCTTTGTTCTGCATCATTTTGCATTTACCCATGTCTAAAATGTTAATGGGTTTCATAGAGGAAATCTAGATTTTCTTTTCTGATATTTAAACCTCTATGTAACTTGAGATTATTGATGCAGAGATACTGGACATTTTAAGACACACTTGGATTTTTCTTTAATTGAATTTATTAGCGTGACATACCTGGATTTTTAAATTGTATGGGGCACTCTGGTGTCTGGAATGAGGAAAATCATTGACTTTCTCGTCATTGGCATGAACTATTAGATATAAAAAAAAGAGAGAGAGAGAGAGAAACCTTGAAAAGCAAATATTTGAAGTCACCCTTCTTTTTAATGACTCTAGTTGGTTATTATAGAATGCATGTCTTTATGAAGATGGGAAGCTAAAGATTTTGAGAAAAGACTGAAAAGCAATTATTTTTTAAAAGCACAGATGTATATCTACAAGTATGAGTGTTTATATCTATAACTGGTATAACAGTTATCACACTGTATTGTGGTTATATTTTTCTCAAACATACTGTGCCTAGTTCTTTGAGTTTTTATTTTTTCCCCTTCATAATGTCTTTAGTTGGTTTTAGTTCAATTGCATCTTTTTACATGTTCTTAATGAGTTAACATGTGGTCTTAACACTGAGTTTATAAAATGTCTTTGTGATACAGAAGATTCTACTAGGCTGCGCATTTTAAATATTCATAGAATTCTTAGAAGCAATAATTAATTTGCTAACATGAAAGAATTTGCTAAGGTGCTCACATATAGGAAAGATGAAAAAGACCATATATTTGTGTTTGAATTCCTGTGTCCAGTCATTCCTGAGTACATCTCCACCATTGCCATTAGGAGAATTTGAGACAGGAGAGAGAACATTAGGATAGGGCAGATCAGGTAAGGATTCATGAATTAGGTAGCATTAAAGGTAGGGTTGGTAGGTCACAGAAAGAAATGGGAAGTACTCCAGGCAAAGAGAATAGAATGAAAAAAAGCACCGAGCGTGGAAAGAACATATTAAGTACGTTCAAGGCACATAATACAATTCAAATTAATGCTACTTACCTAGCTTCTTATAATTTTACTTTTAGCATAAAGAAGCCTTTTATGACCACCCTTGCCTAGTGACACACTATTTAATGATAGTCACTTTCTATCTTTCTATTATCCATTTTGTTGACTTAATAACACTTGCTGTCTGTGGTTATTTTCAGTTTTGGGTAGACAGAATCTCATTTGACTGAGATAAAATTGAAGAAATATTTCAGAACAGGCAATTAAGCTTCATTTTATTTCAATTGTCTTATTGGTCAATTTGTTATATAATTACAAATAGCAAAATGGACTAGTGAAAATACTGGCTGACAGGCTGTTTTTGGCTTCAAGTAATGAAAAACCTAAGCATGACTTAAACAACAAGGGTTTATTTATATTTTTAATACAAGAGAAAGGACAGCAAAGAAGGTACATAGGTTTTGATTCAACTGTTCAGTCTAGTCAATAAGGGCCCTGCCCCTCTGTTGCTGCCATGGCATCCTTAGTGTCCACTGTCTGTCCTCGTGCTGGTGGCAGCATGGTCACAGATGGATACATTCAAGGCAGGAAGAAAGAGGGAACAGGCAGTGCCAGCCACATGTGTTCCTTTTATTAGGAATGCACAGTCATCTGTCAGACATTCTCTTATTTCTGTTTGTCGACCACTGGGAACGTGGCTCTGCCTGAATTTCCCAGCAAGGCATGACAGAAAATTAAGTATTCGGCTGCCTAAATGGTTTACTATTAGAGCATTATGATACACTGCCTGATATGATTCTATTACTACTGGAACAAAATCAGGGTTTTGTTATTGACAGAAAAGGGAAGACAAGATATTGAAAGGCCAACTTGCAGTGTTTACTATTAGGTACAGCTGCAACAGACTTTTCAAAAAATGGTATGCTCAAAGATATTGTATTAATATATGCTTCCCTAATTAATGGTGTCATGGAAACCCAGAGAATCTTGGGTGTTTAGAAAAGAAAAGCACTTGGTTTACCCATTATTAATATTAGTTTTACTCTACTAAGAAGACAGTGGGCTTTTCTCACTTTCCTCCAACATTAAATAAATTATATACATACCAAGCATATAAATGCTCCATCACACTTGAGGGGAGAAAATGTCACATTCCTTTATGTTCTAAAGCAAATTAAATTTCTTCAGTCTCTGTCCTTTAGGATTGTCCAGAATAATCTTAGTTAGGCTTTTGTGGAGGTATTCTTTTTCTCCCTCATAAGTTTCTCAGTCGATCCTAGTTTGATTTAAACAGTTGAAGTGCGGACAGCTATGCTGATTGAATATAAAATCTCTGTTGCACTTGGTCAGACCTTGACTGCGTCAGGCAGGGCGTACCATTGTTCTTCATCCTTCCAGCCTCTCAGAAGTAATTACTTCCTTGAGTCCGATCACTCTTCCATTCTTCTCAAAATAATGGTAGCAATTACTCTTGCCCTTGAGAAATCTGAAACTCACCCCAAATAAAGATCTAAATGAAGCATATTTCCAGGTGCTTTATGTAACACAAATTAGTGGTTAATTTCCCTCTGACCAAAAAAGATGTAGCTATCTTTCCTAGGGGGTATAGGGGAGTAAAGTAAGAAAAAAATGCCGTTCCTTTTGCTAAAGTTGGAAGAACAGATC